GAGATTTTCATGGGGCTTCTTGCGGATTCTTGTTCCCGGGGTAGTCCCCGACAAAACCTCTCAGTATTGTCGGATTCGGAGCACTTTCGTTTCGGTGGGGATTTGAGATTTTCATCTCAAATTGAGGTAGGAGATGTTCTAGGTTTAAATTCTTGTTATATAGCATGCTTGTGATGCTTATACAACTTATTGGCATGATTAAATATAAAATCTAGAGATTTTATTATTTAATTTTCTTGTACGGGATCTAATTTTCCCGATTGCTCATGACTGATTTTATATTGCCCCTTGATATGATCATTGTCGTGTATTAAAATTGGAACATTTGAACAAGTATTAAAAATTTTATTTAATATTTATCTTAGGTGAAAGATTAATTTACATGGCCTTAACTAGCTTGAAATCAATATGTGTTAACATATTAAATTAGGCCTTAGCATGCTCTCCAACATAGTTGAATCTGAAAGTGATTGGAGGTGTTTTGAAAGTTAGTAATTATTAATTAATTTAATTAATTAATTTACCCCGAGTGCACTATTCACTCTATTTGAATTCCGGCTTGATATTCTTGATTTACATGCCATATAGTTTCACATATATTTGATTTAGAATATTCGGTTAGGTTTTGAAACCTTTTATTTAATTAAATTCCATGTTTAAGATTTAATCCTCATGGTGATATACAACTTGGAATTGAATTGTGGCATACTAGAAAATTAAGCTTTGGTGTGGTTGTTCACATGTATTAAATTGGGATTTATTGCATGAGAATTGCAACTTTTGTTTTATATTTAACTTTAGTGAAAGTTTAATTCGCATGGTCGTAAATTGAATAAAATAAACTTGTAATGTGATATTACATTAGTCCTTGGCATGTTTTCCAACATAGGTTAATTTGAGAGCATTTGGTTAAGTTTGAAAATCTAGAGATTTTAATTAAAAGAATTAATTAAAATCTATTTTGTGGTCCCATTAGCTTAATTAAGGTTTTAACTTGATGTTTGTATTGGCCATGACTTGTGTACTAGTATATATTAATTTGGGGCTATTTGAAGTTGTTTTAGAACCTTGGGATTTAAATTAGCATGATTTAATTAAAGTTCTACTTTGTTGTTCTAACAACCTGATTGAGTTTTAGAATGGATATAGGTGATGACCTTGCCATGTCCTTTAACATGTGTTAAATTGAGGTTAATTGGAATTGAATCGGAAATCTATAGAATTTAATTGTGTTTATCTATTTAAATTCTATCAATTTGCTCCATGATCTAGTTGTGTTTTAGGAGTGGTTTCTATATTCAAATCATGGACTTAGAATTGTTGTATATTCATTTGGTTATGTTTTGAACATTGGATAACATAGTTGCTATGTTTGTATTCATGGGAATATATTTTCCTTATTGAATATATTGTTGCCTTGTGTAATGATTTGCACACTTCGTGTTTAACATCTTTCATGCATAGCGTGTAACGAATCGCACACTGAAGATTCGACATTCATCATATCATATTAGTTGTGGATTTAGAGCATGTATTGTATAGGTTTCTAAATTTGGTTGTGCTTAGTAGATAGTTGATTATCTTGCATATTCTTATTGATATATGCGTTGTTGCACAACTTGTTGATTTTGTAAATTTGGGGATGTCGTTGTTTGACTATGGTTAGGACGTGGTTCTAGTACGGGGGATAGTCCCTCTATATATAGTCTAGTGCGCACATAGGGAGGTTACCCATGGGCTAGTAACCCTAAAGTAACTATGTTGTCGGTCTGATCCGGCGTGACGTCCGAGTATCCACTTTGTTTGATTTCGCATTTCATTTTCAAGTTGAAAACTAGATGATGTTGTAACTTGTTGTTTCTTAATTGTCGTTCCATTTTAAGTTACAGGATGTTAACTTTACGAAATTGTGCTTTATGCGTTGCATTGGAAGTTCCAATGTTGGTTAAATTGCATCGATATTGAAAATCATGTTTTGCCGTTTTAATAAAGCTCAGGATTGATCCTATTGATTCATTTATAACTTAGACGTTAGGTGGCATGACCCACTTCTGTTGTTTTTGTGCTTTAGATTTCAAGCTGATAGCTTTAAGAAATTGTATTTTGTTGCCTTGTATAATATGCTTTTATGTGGTTAGATTGCATTGAAGTTGTAAATTGTGTTTTGATTGTTCAGCATGGCCTAGGATGATTCCTTAGACTTATTTAGAACATAGACGTTAGGTGACATGATCACTTTAGTTGTTTCTGTATTCGAGATTACAAGTTAATACCTTTAAGAACCTATATCTTGTTGCTTTGTATAACGTGCTTCCATATTGTTTAAATGGCATAGATGATGTGATTTATGCTAGAAACACTCTAAGGTAGCTTAGGATGCTCCCTGAGTCTCATTTTGATATAGACGTTAGGTGACATGAACCCCTTTAACATGTTTCACCTTAAGGTGATAAATTTGTAAAATGCTAGGTCGACGCATGCTCATCTCCTACGACTAGCTTTATGTTACTCACCCCTACGATACTGGGGCATATTTCAGGTACGAAGACTTGGTTCATGAAGCCTAGCATTCCTTGGATGTCGTGTAGCTTTCAAGTTTCCATTTCATGCAAATATTAACATGAAATGTCATTTTGTAGACTTATATGTCAAAATATGTATATTTGATTCCATGTATGTAATGTGTACATAAGTGCACTCCTTTCAGTGTATTTGATATGTATGAGATGAGGCCGGAGGCCAATGACATGTATATTGTATTCTATGCAACTTTTTAACTTCATGAAATGTTATGAAAACCTTGAAAAATCGCAAGTCATTGCTTCACCATGGTTGCATCGGGTGTGGGAATTCCATTTTCATTCTTTCATAGGGTCTTATTAATCTTGTATGAAGTGTGGCCAAGGGCCAAACGGTCATTTGATCCCGTTTTGCATTTTTGGATTCCATGTTTTCCATTCCAAGTCCATTTTTGCCTTTTTGCCCGTTGGGGGGTCGGATTTTGCATCAGCTATGTTTTTAAGCCATGGACCATTTTAGCGCGTCTAAATAGGTAAGTTACGTTTGCGTGCATAGTCGTTTCCGGGCAAAACCTCATCGTTTGTGTTTTGAGCCTCTTGTGAATTCATTTCGCATTTTTTTTGCATATTCTGATCTAGGGGCATTATGGACCTTTCACCTCAGTTTTATTTTCTTCTTTCAACATGGTCGCTTAAAAAACGTGATTTTAGGGGGGGTTTCTTTTTCATGTTTTTCCAGAAAAGGTCGTCTTGGTACCGGAAATCCCTCATGAAGTTTCAGCTTCCAGTTTTGATTTAGCAGCTTTTTGACCCTCTTGTTCAGTTCTGATCTAGGGGCATTTTTGGGATTTCACAATGAGTTTTTTTCGATTCCGTCCACTTTTCGGGTAGAAAACTCGATAATAGGGGGGGTTTCTTCTTCGTGTTTTTCCATAAAAACTCGTCTTGACCTCTGTTTCAAGCCTCAGTTCTGGGCAGATAAAAAAAAATGTAGCAGCAGCCAAGGGCTGCCACCTTTGGAAATTTTATGGGAGCTTCCTAGAAGCCTAAGAAGTGTTTTGCTCGAGACGGATTTCGATTTGGAGGTCCCCCAAGTTAATTTTGCCCATTATGACTCCTCGCCCGCACGCTCGTGCACACCGGCGTGCACGTAGGTATCGTATGCTAAAAAATGAAGTTTGGAGTTTGGGTTCAGAAATTTTATGGGAGATTCCTAGAAGCCTAAGAAGTGCTTTGCTTGAGACGGATTTCGATTTAGATTTCCCCCGTGTTAATTTTGCCCATTACGGCTCCTCGCGCGCACTCTCAAGCACCACTGCGTGCACGTAGACATCGTATGCTAAAAAATGAAGTTTGGAGTTTGGGTTTGGAAATTTTTTGGGAGCTTCTTGGAAGCCTAAGAAATGCTTTGCTCGAGACGGATTTCGATTTGGAGGTCCCCCGATTTAGTTTTGCCCATTATGACTCCTCGTCCGCACGCTCGTGCACACCGGCGTGCACGTGGGCACTGTATGCTAAAAAATGAAGTTTGGAGTTTGTGTTTGGAAATTTTATGGGAGCTTCCTAGAAGCCTAAGAAGTGCTTTGCTCGAGACGGATTTCGATTTGGAGGTCCCCCGAGTTAATTTTGCCCATTATGACTCCTCGCTCGCACGCTCAAGCACCCCGGTGTGCACATGGCCATGTCTTTGGGCGCCAGCATGCACGCCGGTGGGCTCGCGCATGGGCGCCGTGTGCGCCATGGCCCCTCGTTGGGCCGCCGCGACGTCAATTCTTCTTTTGGGCTTTTCTCCTTCGTCCGGACTCCGATTCAAGTGAATTTTTTTTTGAACTTGACTAATTTTTCGCTGTCTTTCCAACGGTGTGCTTAGTTGCACCCGGTTCTTTCTGGATAATTACCAGTTTACCCTTTTTGCTTTAAGTGCTCGTTTTTCTTTGTCATGCCGTTTCTCCTTTGTTTGGACTCCGAATCATGCGATTCTTAAGTCCATCTTGATTAGTTTTTTATTGTCCTTCCAGCGGTGTGCTCGGTGGCACCCGAATGTACAGTTTTTAGAAATGACTATTTTGCTCCTGGGGGCTTATTTATCATATTTTCGATCTTTTGCTTCCGCATCAGTTCTTGTTGAGTTCCACGACCTCATGGAAGGTCACTTTGACTTCTTAGAGTTTTGTTTTCTATTTTCGCTTCCGCATTCGGATCCGTTATCGGATCATCCTTACGGTTCATCACAGGACACGCTGGCCTAAAAACCAGGGTTGTCACACCTATACTGGCGGACAACTATGGATATTTAGACTTGTAATGCCCCTGCTGATTGGACTGAAAATAGACGACACCACTCCTAACTGACCCAGCTGGCATAAGAGAAGTAGAAGTAGATTGTGCAGGCTGCTTTCCCTGAAACAGAGAAGAACCATTCTTGTGCTTCTTCCCTGGCTGACCCTCTGAAGATGGCCCCACATTCCTCTTATACTTCCACTATTCCCTATTCATATTCCTGTCTTTTGCTTCCGCCTCTATCATCAAGGCTCTCTCTATTGCCTCTATATACACTTTAAGGTTTTGGGCTGTCAATGCTGGCCTTATACTATAATGAAGGCCAAAGACAAACTTTTGAATCATATTTGCCTCATCTCTTACTAAGTTGGGAGTAAAACGAGAAAGAAAGGTGAACTTGTTCTCGTACTCTGTCACAGTCATAGTGCCCTGAATAAGGAGATCAAACTCCCTCTGTAACTCCCATCTTTCTATTATAGGAAAATACTTATCATAGAACAACTCCTTGTAGGTATCCCAATCCATAGTCTCAACATCATGTCGGTTAGTAACCGACTTCCACCATAGCATCGCATCCTTAAAGAAATTATAAGTGGCCAAGATAATCTTCAAGTGATTATTCGACACACCTATAGTTAACAAATACTTCTTCACCTGATCAAACCAATCTTCCACTACCATCGGGTCTGGACCACCCTCAAACATTGTAGGCATCAACTTCATAAATCTAGAGATCAACTTGAGACATTTTTCCATCGCCGTCTCGTTCGGTTGAACCACCTATTGTGGCACTGGTTGGGGCATCAGTTGCGGAACAGAAGCAATTGTAGCCCGTAGAACATCTTACAACAAAATGGTTAGTGTCACGCCCAGAATTTTCTAAATAAATTCATCGATTTATTCAAATCCAAATACTTTCAGTGTACACCCAGGATCTAAAAAAGAAACACTCCTTTTATTGACACAACTATCAATTTCCTCAAATAAATACAACGTCTCTAAAATAAATTAAATAATCCTCAACACCAACTCTTTCACCTAAGCTAGCAACTAGCAATCCACGGTATCTGAAACTGGAAGGGGTGAGACGGGAGAAGTCCTAGTAGGAAAAACCATAACAAGAATTTCAAGAAATTTCATATAAAATTAACTTCACAAAAATATATATATACTTTTAAACAAAATACATATATACAATTTTAACAAAATATCAGTTAATAAAATATTTGAAACAAAATCATCCAGGCCATTTAAGGTATGAAAAACCCTACATTGAAAAATAATTACACCTCATTGGGTCATCAATTGTAAACTCTTTCTCTGCGTCTCGGCACTCTCAGTCATCTCCTCTATTTTTTTTTTTCTTTCTCTGAATCATTATATACTAATTAAATGCACAAGTACCCAATATATAAGCCATTTCCACCGACACAATACAAATTTACCAAATCAATTTGCAAAATATCTCCTAATGAGCCCACCATTCCTTACTTTTCCTTATCTCTTAGTCTTTCTTTTCATTCTAAATATATCACTCAACAGACAACAAAATCAGGCACCATAATATAAGGCCACGTGAGTAGTCAAAGCGAAAACAATTTTTGGCCAAAATTTCAACTAGTGGGACCGCACCATCATCATAATCTTTTTTTTTTTTTTTTCCTTTCGGCTGGCACCCACTTTGCTGCCCCCTTAACCATCAAATGCTATATATATATGTATATACAAATATATATCATAGCAACAAAACCAATTTCAAACTCTTTACACATTTCCTAGTGGGACCCACAATTACAATCACAATTTCACTTTTTCTTTCCACCTTCAATTTTGGCAACCCCATTCATGGATCATCGTAAGCCAAATATATATATATATATATATATATATATATATATATATATATATATATATAAATGTAACCAAAAATCACAACCTATTAAATAAATCAAGTGGGACCCGCACAAATTACCATTTCCTTAATCTTTTCTTTTGTCTCCAATTTTGGCAGGTAGCTTGCTCCCCTCTTGCAGATGCAAAATAAATATATATGTAAATATCATCTATATATATCCAAATGAAACAAAAATTAAATCCATTAAATAATTCAATTGAATAAGTCCTCAAAAATTTAAATACTCAAATCTTAACAACTAAAAATCGTGGAATAAATTAAATTAAAATCTTAAAAATCCAAGTTGTCACATTCTCCACCACTGAAAAAAGAATTTCGTCCCGAAATTCATATCCAACCGTCTTCGCATACCCGAAAACATCAAAAGTGGCAAAACAAAATCCAAAATCCTTACCCCAGGCGATGTGAGATATCGTGACAAAAAAAAAAAAAATGTTGTGGTAGCTGACAATGCTAGTTGCCCGCCCACACACTCCATAACCGTTGTGGTAGAAAGTCAATGCCGTCACCCACCCACAAAAATAAAACCAATAGTGAACCTGGGAAATATGCCCAATCACAAATAGTAATCATTCTTGTAGCTACCAGTGAACAACATCCGCCCACACACACCTGGCTACAAGTGATAGATAGTCAGTATTAAACACGCGCCCACTCACACCCGTAAAATACATTATCACTACACTTACACTTCCGGCTGGGTACATGCTCTGATACCAATCTGTCACGCCCTGAATTTTCTAAATAAATTTATCGATTTATTCAAATCCAAATACTTTCAATGTACACCCGGGATCTAAAAAAGAAACACTCTTTTTATTGACACAATATTCAATTTCCTCAAATAAATGCAACATCTCTAAAATAAATAAAATAATCCTCAACACCAACTCTTTCACCTAAGCTTGCAACTAGCAATCCACAGTATCTGAAACTGGAAGGGGGTAAGATGGGGGAAGTCCCCGTAGGAAAAATCATAACAAGGATTTCAAGAAGTTTTATACAAAATTAACTTCACAAAAATATACATGTGCTTTTAAACAAAATACATATACACAATTTTAACAAAATATCAGTTAATAAAATATTTAAAACAAAATTATCCAGGCCATTCAAGGTATAAAAAACCCTATACTGAAAAATAATTACTCCTCATTGGGTTATCAATTGCACACTCTTTCTCTGCGTCTCAACTCTCTCAGTCATCTCCTCTATTTTTTTTTTCTTTCTCTGAATCATTGTATACTAATCAAACGCACAAGTACCCAATATATAAGCCATTTCCACCGACACAATACAAATTTACCAAATCAATTTGCAAACTATCTCCTAATGGGCCCACCATTCCTTACTTTTCCTTATCTCTTAGCCTTTTTTTTTTCATTCTAAATATATCACTCAACAGACAACAAAATCACCCACCATAATATAAGGCCACGTGAGTAGTCAAAGCCAAAACAATTTTTGGCCAAAATTTTAACTAGTGGGACCGCACCATCATCACAATCTCTCTCTTTTTTTTTTTTTTTTTTTTTTTTTTTTTTTTTTTTTTTTTTTTCGGTTGGCACACACAAAAATCAACCCAACCTATTAAATAAATCAAGTGGGACCCGCGCAAATTTCCATTTCCTTAATCTTTTCTTTTTGTCTCTAATTTCGGCAGGTAGCTTGCTCCCCTCTTTCAGATGCAAAATAAATATATATATATAAATATCATCTATATATATCTATATGCAACAAAAATCAAATCCATTAAATAATTCAATTGGATAAGTCTTCAAAAATTTAAATACTCAAATCTTAAGAACTAAAAATCATGAAATAAATTAAATTAAAATCTTAAAAATCCGGGTTGTCACAGTTAGGGTCTATCTAACCAAACCTTCACCATCTTCAACGGGTGCCTCAACATTATCCCTTCTAACGGGAACACCTTTTGGAGGAACTAAGTCCCTAAGAAGTGTGTCATCAGCCACTCGCTCCACAGGATTGGAGCTAGAGTTCTCCCCAACATCACCTCTTATTGGCCTAGAGCCAACTCTCCGTGGTTCTTTTCGTAGTGGCATAACGCTATAAAATGAGAAAACGAATCAATACCGATGACACAAAAGTCCGCCTAAGAACAAAATCCTCATATGAATCACTTGGATATGAAATGAAAGCCTTTAAACACTTAACATGCTTGGTCATGTAACAAATACATCAACTTAAGCAATTAAACATGTAGCCACATAAGCAAGTAAGCATGCTTTGCAAATCATGAAACACTTTAACACATAAGTACATAACAATGCAAATTAACTTCCACACAACCTTAAGTAAGGCTCTACACATCGTCTTAATGGTTTTCAAACCATTGTTCTGATGTTAAGTTTGTAACGACCCAAACCCGGGGGTCCGGATCATTATCTGGGTCCTTAACCAAACCTAAGGTCATCTAAGGGTATTACAGTCATTTTTAATGTTCAAATATAATTGGTACATCATATTATGCCTTGTAGTGGACCATAGCATCATTGGATGGGTCAGGAATGGCGTCGACCGGTTTAGCGTAGTCGGTCGATGTGTGACGTGCACACGTCGACCGATTCCTGAAGCTACCCCATTTGTTGTTCTCTTCTAATTTTTTTTTCAGAATCAGAATGCTTTGTTTGAAAGGGTCATAGATGAGATATGAAATTGAAGGGTATAAGTGAAGATGTTTCGGACAAAATAGGTAGGTGGTTCTAAAAAGGATATTTACAGACCTGCACCACCAAAGACATCAGTGAGAGATGAGGATGATGATGATGAAGATGGGACTGATGATGATGACGATGGTGATGATGTGATGACCACTACTATTCCGTTTGATGGGGATGATCTTGATTATTGATCGTCTATGTTGATTATCAGTTGTCTTTTGGATTTTATTTTTGCTCATGATAAGTGCTTACATGCTCATATAGACATATGGATAATGTTTTAGTTGTTAGAGTAACATAGTCATTAATCTGAAATTTCTTTTTCATCTACATAACTTATTTCATCTTAATGCACTAATCTTTCTTCTTATTTATCTTTGTCAACTTGTTCCAAAAAGGGGGGAGAAAGATGTTTTATTCAGGGGGGATTTACAATTCAGGGGGAGTTTGTGATGGCCCAAGTTTTTCAACCCGGTGCATCAGTGATGAACCGAAAATTGACCCGATAACGGATCCGAAATGCGGAAGCGAAGATAAAACCAAAGTCTAAAGAGATATAAACCATTCCCAAGACACCAATGTGACATTCCATGATGTCATGGAGCTCAAAGAAATAACCTGAAGCGAAAACTAACATGAAAAGGGTCAAATGGTACCCTATGGCACCAATGACAACCAAAAGGACAAAATCTAGTTCAATCTAGACCACGTACACCAAAACTGAAAATAAGACATTAAGCCTCACTTGAATACCCCATTGTATGATCAAACTTAATTATATGCAAGTGTGTGATGATGTGAACATACACGCAAATGTAAAACAACATTTTAAACATGCTGAAATGGCCTATGGCCTTATTATAATTCATTTACAACATTTAACATGTCAAACCTCCAAGTTAGGAAAATTACATTTCATAGGCAAAACTTAAACATGCTAACACTTGCATGTGAACAAGAATGCTTCTAAAGAAACTTTAATTCTGCAATTCCCCCAAAGCAAATTCAAATCTCCAATCTTATTTCCTGTACCTGAAATATGCCCTAGTAACTTTGGGGTGAGCAACATAAAGCTACTCGTAGGAAATGAGCATACATCGACCTAACGTTTTACAATTTTATCACCTTAAGGTGAAACATGATAAAGGGGCTCATGC